GTATCCTTTATTTTTGTACAATGTAACGATGTTTGCATCTTTCAACTCTTGTGGTAGCTGTCCCTGATCCGAGCACTGAGTAAGGAGATCGTGCAAAGGCCGTAATAGTACTTCTTTTCCACATTTGAGAGCTTCTGGTGGGATACCATCATTGCCTGGGGCTTTCCCCACTGGCGAGACAATCGATGGCTCTACGTAGCTCTTCTGTGGTGGGTAGGGTATCGAGCTCCTCTATGACCGGTAAGTCTGGGATATCGTCCAGGGCAGCGGTTGAGACATGGTTTATCGTTGCGTATATTTCCAAGTAGTGCTCTATCCACCGCTTTAGTTGTTTATCTCGATCAGTAATAAGTTCCCCTGATTTGGACATTAAGGGCGCAGTCTTGGAGGTCAGAGGGCATGTTGCTTGTTTTATATTCTCGTACATGGCCTTTGCATCACCTCTATCAGCAGCTGATTGTATGCTTGATCTTAGATTGAGCCAGTATGTGTAAACGTAGTGGCGAGCTGCCTGCTGGGCATTTTTCTTGGCGCCTTTAAGCGATTGTAGAGTTGCTGGGCAAGGCCTGTCTTTATAAACTAAGAGGGCCTTTCTTTTTGCATCGGTGACATGTTTCATTTCCTGCCAATGGGCCTCGAACCAATCTGCACTTTTGCGTTCTCTCCTTCCAAATGCCGTGATAGCACAGTTATAGATAGTGTCCCGCAAATGTGACCATTTGGACTCAATAGTGTCCATTGGTGGCGTTTGTATAAGAGCTTCTTCTAGACTATGGGTGTATACTTCTTTTCTCTCTGGGTTTTTCGTGGAGCAGATGTTTATGCGTGGTTTACCCTTGTTTTTGGTGTGATACAGTTTCTTTGGCTGTAGCCTTATCTTGCTAGCCACTAAGGAATGATCAGTGTCGCAGTCTGCGCAGTGGTAGCTGCGTGTGAAGAGGACACTGGCCAGTTGTGTGCGTCTTGTGATTATGAGATCTAACTGGTGCCAGTGTTTAGAGCGGGGATGCCTCCATGACACTTGGTGGATAGCCTTACAGTTGAATTAGGTGTTAGTTACACATAGTCCATGTAGGCAGCACAGTTCCAATAGTCTCTGCCCATTTTCATTTAGCCTGCCTCTTCCAAAATGACCGAGGCAGGTTGGCCAGGCCATGTGATCGCTTCCTACTCTTGCATTGAAGTCACCCAAAAGGTAAATTGCTTCGTTTTTGGGTATGCTGGCTATTGTTTGATTAAGATCTTCGTAGAACTGGTCTCTGGCTTCTGAGCTGGAGGAGAGGGTTGGGGCATAAGCTCTGAGGATGTTGACTAAACATGAAGATGTTGATAGACGGATGGTTAGTATTCTATTTGTGCCCTTTGTCGGTGGTTCTATGCAGCAATGAAGCATCGAGAAAATTAACAGGGGGGGGGGGGAATTGATACATGTCCACTCAATACGACACTCAAAACAGTGCTAATTACAATTAATACGATTTATTAAGTTACTATGGATTGCAAAATAAAAGAAATGCAATTAAAATCAACTTACAGAATATGTTATGTCTTGTACCCGTACACAGTTAATACAATGTGCCACAAAAATAAGGTACTGATTATTTCGAATTCACATATATAAGTAAACACAGAATAACACACTCTTGTCTGGTGAAGTAAAAAATATCTCGTGATCTATCTCTCTCTCTCGCTCTCTCTCTCTCTCTCTCTCTCTCTCATATATATATCTATATCTATTTAGACTATATATCTACCGACGCATCTGGAAACGCCTTACACATTGTATTTCTATCTAGTTTTCTCCAAAGTATCAGCAATAACATTATCTTTGCCTTTAATATGCTTTATGTCTAAATTATACTCTTGTAAAAATAGACTGGTGTGGAAAAAGAATTAAACCAAAACATACTTTTTCTACCGTAGAATAGTATTTTCTGCTGGGAGTTAAATTTCTTTGAGAAGTAACAGACATGATTATCTACAATATGGTCATCTTCTTGAAAATGGCTTGAAACTGGTGAATCATGGGCTAAGTTCAGGACTTCGTTCCGGAATTGTGTAGGAACTACTATCTGATGAACTATCCTCCATTCTTTGTCAGCTTTTGCTTTATTGAGGTCGCCATTTTCTCATAAGTATGTCATGTTGAAGGTAATAACATACAGGGAATTGTTCAGCTTCTTCTTGGGTCAAAGCGTTCTCTCGAAAAGTTTGACTATTTCTGGATCACTCTTCTGTTCTTCAATAAGTTGCATTCGAGGTGTAGTCTGGTGATTACTTTACTCTTCGTTTAGACTGGCAAAAAATCTTGTTCCCAGATCAATTTCAGGTTGTATTTTATTTTTATTTTTTTTGTGAACTCTCTTTTTCGGAGATCTTGGAATACATGGCCCTTGTAACAGCACATGCCGGATAAAATACTGGATCTTTTTCCTGAGATCCAGTGAAACAAGGTTCATGATTAACGATGAGTTCGGCTATCACCTTCCCACCAGCTAAGTCATTGCCTAGCAGTAACGAGATGCCGTCCAATGGTAACGTTGGTCGGACACCCACAACCATAGGTCCGGAGACTAGGTCTGATTTGAGATTGATAAGATGTAAAGGTACATCAATGCATCCCAGCTCTACACCTCGTAACAGGATGTTGCTCCCAGTAGCAGTAGATTCAGACAAGGGATGTATACCCTCAAGTAGCAAGGACTGTGAAGCACCTGTATCTCGTAAGATTTCGATTGGTCGTAGACTGGACAAATCACTGGGCAATGATACAAATCATTCCTATCTAAAAAGCATGAAATCATGTATGACATAAATAGTGTCTGATGTAGAATTTTGGACCTTGTTAGGTAAACTCTTGTTGGAGTCCTGAGAACATTCGGCTAGGGTAGAGGGAGTAAAACTCTGCGTAGAGTTGTTTTTACGCACTGCCTTCTATAGTGAGAACTTAATATTTTATTTTAATTTTATGGCTCGTTCAAATAGTGCATAACAAAGGACGATATCATAGAGAAATACAATAGCAAAACTACAACACTCTAAACAGTACTAATTACAATTAATAATATTTATTTAAGTATTAATATGTTTACAAAACAAAAGAATTATACTTACAATCATCAACTTACAGAGTATGAGAAGTCTTGTACCGGTACACAGTGAGTACAATGTGGCAAGTAATAAAATACAATGATGAATGCGAATAAACACAAAAAGTACACACAGAATAATACACTTGTCTCGTGAAGTGAAAACTATCGATCAACCCCCTTGTCTTTCAATTCCCCGGCTTTATATATGGGTACCGCCTGTTTCTAAGAAGATGCGGGTGGCAGACTATACATTGTAGTCGTGACTAGAATCTTCTACCAATTTCCATAATTTACTACAATTTAGTACCACCTTCATGGTGTTGTGTGATTGAGGCAAGCTCATCTTCAGACACATATCCTCATCCACTAAGTGAACGATGATCATATCTCGTACGGTCTTTTTTAATGCCGAATGAGCTACATGTATTCCTAAATCTTAAGCAATGGAAAATAACTTCTTTCTAGAACGTTGGTCTAATGCCTCTACTGATGGGTTATTAACATCAAAATACATATTTGATACAGGCAAAATATAACAATAGGCTCTATAAATGTTCAAACTTAATGAACACACTTATTCAAATTGAATTTAAAGAAAAATTGTTACTATCTCTGTTATTTGTATCGTAAATGGTGTCGTGAACTCGATTTAGTCTGAGTAACTTAAGGAAAAACAAAGGGTCAAAATTCACATACAAACACTTAATTTATTTTTTGGTGTAATTAGAAACGTTATGGATTCAAATTATCTCAGGACAAGAAAACCAATTTTGTTATTGGTGCTAATGAGAAATAAAAATGGATTCAAGAATCTGGAAACGCTTTACACATTGTTTTTCTATCTAGTTTTCTCCAGAATTTTCTACAAGAATCTGATAAATACAAACCATTCATTTTGGTAGTAAACAAGGCCAAGATCAAAGGGAATAAGCCACCATTCATTTTGGTAGTAAACAAGGCCAAGATCAAAGGGAATAAGCCACGCCCAATACTAATGCAGGCGAAATTTGAGTCAGCTAGAGTTCACAGCACGGGGGAAATGTGACGTAAACACGTCGTCTACATAACACAGACCGTTGTTCAGTTCAAATTCCATAGACTCCCTATTGCTCCAATGTCCACGAAACTCGTCTATGTTTGGTAACATCGGTATTTCGTTTTTGTAACGACCCGCTTCGGCTGATGGTTCTGTGACCCTGTCATATTGTCTGTGACCCTGTCATATTTTCTGTGACCCTGTCATATTGTCTGTGACCCTGTCATATTGTCTGTGGCGCTGTCATACTGTCTGTGGCGCTGTCATATTGTCTGTGACCCTGTCATATTGTCTGTGGCGCTGTCATATTGTCTGTGGCGCTGTCATATTGTCTGTGACCCTGTCATATTGTCTGTGACCCTGTCATATTGTCTGTGACCCTGTCATATTGTCTGTGGCCCTGTCATATTGTCTGTGGCCCTGTCATATTGTCTGTGGCCCTGTCATATTGTTATGTGGCGCTGTCATATTGTCTGTGGCCCTGTCATTTTGTCTGTGGCGCTGTCATTTTGTTATGTGGCGCTGTCATATGCTGTATGGCCCTGTCATTGTTCAATGGCTCCCTGTCTAAATCAGCAATTTTTAATCGCATGTTCTTGGATTCTCATTTTTTCCCACGAACGGCGCTTTCCTCGTCGCGAATGGCACGCTTTTCGTCCTATGTGGATTTCCCCCCTATTTCCTACTCATGCTTTCGCTTCCTTGCCTTCCAATTCCAAATTTAAAAAAAAAAAATATTCGGCAATAGTTGTTGAAGATTTTTCGATTCCTAACACTTACGTCACAGTATATATTTACGAACATTATAAACAAAAGTGGGATACAGTTGCATACAAATGGGGATACAGTCAGTACGTATATTTCGAATTTAAGGGTACTTGAAAAGTTATATATACAAATAAAAGGTAAAGTGCAATGAAAACATTTAAAATAATTTACTTGAAATTTTTCCCTAATCTCCAAGTATTTGGGATGGGTCTCGGTTGACTTCAGACGGCTTTTTTTAATGGGCTTCGCTTAGATAGACTTCCAATTTCTTTGGGTGCCTCTGGGGCCTTCATACTTTGTGACAACACGTGTGTGGGCCCAAAGAAAATAGGACAGAGGGGAAAGCTATTCGGAAAATAATAATAGCTACCGTACCTTCGAAATAAATTTTATGTGACACATTGCATCGTTTTTCGGTAAAAAGTTTGTCGTATTCAGGAGATAGATTGGACGTGTGGCTGCTCTCAAGATATCGTCCAAATGATCATCACACAAACGTGAGCGTTGCTTGCATTTATTCATGTTCATTATTGAAACTATCTGTTGACATCGAGATGTGTTCCCAAATACCCGGTACAGTCAAAGTTTTTAGTGCAACTTCGTCCAGATTTGTGTACTTCTTACGGTCCAGATTTTTGTACTTCTTACGGTCCAGATTTGTGTACTTCTTACAGTCCAGATTTTTGTACTTCTTACAGTCCAGATTTTTGTACTTCTTACGGTCCAGATTTGTGTACTTCTTATGGTCCAGATTTTTTTACTTCTTACGGTCCAGATTTTTGTACTTCTTACGGTCCAGATTTGTGTACTTCTTACGGTCCAGATTTGTGTACTTCTTACGGTCCAGATTTTTGTACTTCTTACGTCCAGATTTTTGTACTTCTTACGGTCCAGATTTGTGTACTTCTTATGGTCCAGATTTGTGTACTTCTTATGGTCCAGATTTGTGTACTTCTTATGGTCCAGATTTTTGTACTTCTTACGGTCCAGATTTGTGTACTTCTTACGGTCCAGATTTGTGTACTTCTTACGGTCCAGATTTTTGTACTTCTTACGGTCCAGATTTTTGTACTTCTTATGGTCCAGTTTTGTGTACTTCTTATGGTCCAGATTTTTGTACTTCTTACGGTCCAGATTTTTGTACTTCTTACGGTCCAGATTTGTGTACTTCTTACGGTCCAGATTTTTGTACTTCTTACATCCAGATTTTTGTACTTCTTACATCCAGATTTTTGCACTTCTTACGGTCCAGATTTGTGTACTTCTTACGGTCCAGATTTATGTACTTCTTACGGTCCAGATTTGTGTACTTCTTACGTCCAGATTTTTGTACTTCTTACAGTCCAGATTTTTGTACTTCTTACGGTCCAGATTTTTGTACTTCTTACGGTCCAGATTTTTGTACTTCTTATGGTCCAGATTTGTGTACTTCTTAGGGTCCAGGTTTGTGTACTTCTTATGGTCCAGATTTTGATAAAAATCCTGCAGGATGCTCTCTCTGTACGTGCTTCGGTAAACTGCCAAACATTCGATAAGCTCCAGCTGCAGTTGAACTGGTATGTCCTTGGGATTCACATAAAATGGATCTTCAACTAGTTTAAACTGAATTTGTTCTTCTTTAGATGGAGTAAGTCTTTTATCAAATTCTTCTATCAAAAGATTAATTTCCTCTGCTGTGCACAAGTGGCGAAGTGACTCATTTCACCATTTAGTAACTGGGTTTGGAAAAGTTTCATGTTCAGTTTAAAAGCGTTTACTGCTGCAAACGTTTCCAATGCGTTCACGGTGTTGTAGTTGATGTCATGTGAACGAGCATGTTATTACATTAAGCATGTTTATTTATTTTTTAAAAAGTCAAATAATTTCTAGTGTTTAATTATTTAATCCGTATGAAATTTTGTTTGGAATGTAATGGCAGTGTATTATGTTGTTTTTTTTTCAATGTATTGTAATGGCAGCGTATTGTGTTTTTACAATGCAATGATAGTGTATTATGTTTTACAATGTAATGACAGTGTATTGTGTGTTAACAATGTAATGGCAGTGTATTATGTTTTTTTAATGTAATGGCAGTGTATTGTGTTTTTACAATGCACTGATAGTGTATTATGTTTTACAATGTAATGACAGTGTATTGTGTGTTAACAATGTAATGGCATTGTATTATGTTTTTACAATGTAATGTCAGTGCATTGTGTGTTTACAATGTAATGACAGTGTATTATGTGTTTACAATGTAATGGCAGTGTATTGTGTGTTTACAATGTAATGGCAGTGTATTGTGTATTTACAATGTCAGTGTCGGAAGTGACAGATGTTGTATGATGTGCATGTCTGTGTAGGAAGTGTTCAATTGACATACATGTCAGTGTAGTGTAGGAAGTGTTCGTGTGACAGGTGTCTTCATATAACATACATGTCTGCGTAGGAAGTGGTTCGGCGACATGTCAATCACATGACATACGTGTTGATGTAATGCTGTAGATGACAACACAAACGATGCCAGTACGGTATTGAAGTCATGCAGTGGCAAAACACGTTTATTAACATTGTCAAAATAATGACAACCCAAGTGTTTAATAATAATTTGTAGTCTTATATAGCGCGGTACCCCAGCCTAAGGCTGGGCTCACCGCGCTGTACATAAAAATGTTTGCATAAGAGACATAATCATGACATTAAAATAATGATTGTTGTAACAATACGATAGAGTCATTCTTTTTGTATATACAATTGTTAAAACTTAAGTGCTGTATTCACAGAATACAAATCACAATCTTACAATCATTCAATCATTATGTTTGTTATATTGGAGTCTTTTGTTTGTTTTAATGAGCTCACTGGACAGACATTTTTGTTAAGTCAGAATAGTGTAGACAGACATTTTAATCCTAGCCTTAATGCCTGACTTCTGACTTGACTGGCTGACTTCTGACTTGGCTGGTTGGTAAATTTCTCTCGATGTCTTCACATCCACGGAACAAATTGACGAGCCCATTCCACCCAGATGTTTGCTCTGGATACCGGTACATTTAAACCGTAACCTCTTCGTCATGAGCTAGACGTGCTACCACTACACCACAAGATCGTCTCATGAGCTTAAATGGGTCATTGTGGATGAGGAGGTGGGACGATTGGGTTGACTCAATGCTCGTGTAGTCATATACGTCGTGACAAGAGAAAGTGGCTTGAACATGAAAACCTTACATTAAATAGGTTGCAAAACCTTTATAATAAAGATAGTTAGATACTAATGTGATGGAAATAATGAGTTTAAAAATGTGTTGACGTTGACAGTTCAGAAATCATAATTTTGCAATAACAGTGATATGTCCATTAAAAATAACTTATCTAATTTAAGTGCATTTATGAAAAACCATGTTATATAACGTCCATTCATGTGCATTTAAAAAAAATATATATATATACTAGTCATAGCCCGCCAAACATTGGCGACAACAATGCGTGAACTTCCCATCTAGTAAAGTTACTTGACAAAACATGAACTCAAGTAACGCACATTTAAGAATCCCAATTTTTGCTTCCCCCCCCCCCCAAATGATACGTCACTGCACACTTTTTATTTCACGCCCATGAATTATATTAATATTCTCATGTCCCAGCCCCTTCTGAACAGAATATTTATTACACCTTATTTAACCTGAGACGATTAAATTTGTCGCAAAGAAAATATTACGCACCAAACGCAGTTGCGTTATTTTAACTAGTTATAATTTGGCGCAGTTATCGGGAAATGGAAGCGGGCACACCACAATAATATAAATATACGAGATACAACACCTTTCCCCTCACACCTTTCCCCTCACACCTTTCCCCTCACACACTGCCCGCCGTACACTCACAAATAAAATAAGGATAATAAAAAACAATATAAAGAAACCATTTTGAATGCAAGGGTAACTTACCCCCCCCCCCCCCTCTCCCCACCCACCCCAGCAAAAAAGTACCACCACTACCCCGAAAAAGAAGCTATGTAATGTTCCGGTATCTGAGAAAGTCAAAAGCCGGCAGGGGGGGGGGGTATCTCAAATTGGAAGTACCGGTAGTTGCTTCCCCCTCCCATGCCTGCATAGACGCCCCTTGCTTTGATGTACGATAATAGTATTGTGGTTTAAATTAATATTGGGTATTGATGATGTCTCTCATCTGATTGGTTGAGAAGCCTACATTGCACAATTTAAGCCTTCAGGTTGGAGATTCATTATTGAATATCGCTTTCATAATAATAATAATAATAATAATAAAAGTTCATTTCAAAAACACGCTTCATCCCTCGAAGCGCGGTACAAAGTCAACAAAAAACATATCTATAATTAACCACATTTAAAACAAACACAACACTACAAAAACTAATTACAAGCATACAATCTCAAAGTCTTTCTAGCCATTTCGACCCGGAGCAACAAAGCCATTATGCATTAACTGAAAATAAGGTAGACAATCATCATACATACATATATATGTATACATATATATACATATATATATATATATATATATATATATATAAGAG